ACATCAGTACACAAATCAGCTTTCTAACACTCAGTAGAGTCGGTGTTTACGCTTTGAGGCCATTTTTTACTGTTGTAAGATACTTTACAGAAAAATATAGATATTAGAATTCGTCTGTATACGTCCAGATCAGAATTATAATTAATTCAACAATTAAATTTGTAAATGGAATTGTCTAAAATGTATATAAACTTTTATATTTAATAAAGTTTATTATGAAATTTAATTTTTAATTAAAAGTTCGATATTTATAAAAGTAAATATTAAATTTTCACAATTTTAGATTTGTTAAAACGTTTTCTCACCTTTGGAGCAAAATTATTCAGTGTACTGAATTCGTGAATAACCATGAAAATGCTTTGTCAGCGAGATTTAGTTGGTAGTAAGCAGGCAAATGTGTCGAATTAATATACGGTTCCATTAAACGGATTCCCTTATATTCACTGTCGCTTTGTCGTTTGATAGTCCAACAATAATCCTTCAGCGTGGCTGGTCCCATCGTTTCTGGTAACAGAATTTTATTTCAGAAATGTTCTGATGGCACCGTTTCGCCTTTTTATCGCTCGCTTAAATATTCAGGAAATGTGTCGAAAGATCGACTTTTGATGACTTGCGGCACCTATTTCTAAACTATTAAACTATTTTCTACAACATTAAACTATTATTATTAATGTTGTAAAAAATATTTAATATAACAGTTTATAACTCACTGCTGTTTCAACTATAAAATTCTTTAACTTAATTAATTCATTTTAAAGTAATTACTGTATTAGAATCGTTAAAATTTACAAATAATAAATTACTCAAAATTTTACGAATTTAGGTGTTTTTTTATTTTTAAAAGATAGGAATAAAAAAGTACGTACAGTAAAACTGCCGTTAAAGGACACCTCTACATTTTTACAATTTTCTCACCTACAAATAAAACACGTGTAAGTTGACAATGACCACTTAACGTCATACATATTAATATTCTCTATATCACTTCACGTAAGCCAAGATCAAGGAAATGTTAATGGAGAACACTTAAATAACCATGAAGTAGCCTTTAGATAGGTTTGTGGCAACTCGGTCGTGCCAGGAAATGAACTAGTAGATAATTTAGCAAAGAAAGCTGCTAAATCTTCTCTTGGTCAATGTACGAAAATCTAAGATTAGAGAATGGATCTGAGACATTACTCATGCAAAGTGGCAGGATGACTGGGAGTAGGTCCATACCGGAAGGACCACATTTGGTTTTATCCCAGACATCAAAGAACGTCTAAAGTGGAGTCTTTACAAGCTTTACAATTACCCAAACTCTGACAGTGCATGGTAACTTTCAGGTGTACCTCCACTGTTTTAAAATTAGAAACAACAACACATATCCATGAGACGGAATCACTCCCCAGGACATGTACACCTGATTTTTGACTGTATCAGTTTGACAGATAAAGACAAAACCTCATCGATGCGGTAATAACTCAGGGATTTAACTGGGCGTGACAGATATCAAACCTAGTGAAGGATGAAACCATTTTCAAGAAACTGCAACAATTTTTTCAAAAAGTGGAAGTCCTCACGAACTTTGACAGAAGATAACCACTGCCTTGTAACAGGTTTATACAAATCAAGAATATCCTATAACAAACACATCTTTCCATCTACAAATTAACTTAATTTAAACCTATGTTCTTTGGCCAAGAGAGCCTTTGTAAATACTGTATATATGTCTGTTTGCCTATTGTACGGTACAACCTCATGTTCTGCGCGACTGCTTCATTGGGATGGGCAGCGACTGCTTCGTTGGGCCATCAGTTCCGATATTAACGGTAGAGCATAGCCAGGAAGTCAAAGTATCACAGAAAAGCGTCGCGGTCGCCACTGACAGCGTGCAAACTGACAAAGTTCTCATTTAGTAAAGGATGAACAAGAACGTTAGTTGTCAAAATATGTATGATGAAATCGAAAAAATATTTTTGTAAAAGTCCGGGTTCTCACAAAATTAAGCTTGTTTTTTATTTTCTCGGCTTTGTTATATATAACAGATTAAAAGTGTGGCGATCGGTAAAAAAATGATTCACCCAACATCTTTAAATTTTTAGGCTCGGGACCTTGAAACGTCGAGAAATACAAAACGACTGGGATTTTTTCTGTATGTATGGATGTTACTGTGTGTGAGGGGAACGAATTTGTTCACCCTCTTTGAAGCTTAAGCACCTTTCGTCGAAAATTTCTGAAATTTGTGAATTAAGACATTATGTTCGCATTACCTGGAGTGCAAAGGACCACAATCATTACTAATTCCTCTTTGAATTTTCAAAAATACGGATAACAGGATAACATTAGAATAAATGAATGATTCGACATTCCTAATATTTTATTTATTAAGAAAAAAAGCGTTATTTTAACTTAAAAAACTTAAGGTAATCCTGTTTTTAATGAATATTATTTTAATAAAATAATCCTTTCTGAAATATTTCAAACCGATTGTTTTTACGTAACATGTGACGTAAAAATATGATGGGATCATAATACGTTACAATATATTTTAACAATAGGTAAAGAATTGTTAAAATGTATTGTTGGCTTTTTGCATTGTAAGTGGCTATTGTTAACTCTTTGTCATGGTGTCCTGCATCTTTAAGGCCCGGTCAGACGAAGACAGGAGATCCGACGAAAGGCGGAGAAGGCATCTTTAAGGCTAGCTCGGGTAAAGACAAAAGACGGAATGGAGCATACAGGGCTCTCTCTGTCTCGTTTCTTCAACGCCCGCTCGAGTGAAGGGGCCGACCGAGGTTGGAGCGGGTTTTCTGTCTCTCGCTGTATTAAATTCCGCGCAGGACGAGTATTTTTTTTGGTTAATGAGGGTCGGTATGAGATTGAACTAAATTTTGTGGCCCTAACGTACGTTTTATTATGACCAGGTGTATTTATAGATTTTCTTTATTAGTAGTTGTTGTAATATTGCATCCCTTAGTTTAGATACTAATAATAAGATAAGTTTCGAATAGCGGAATTTTGAGTATTCAGAAGTAATTACAGTATAAATAATTTCATTGTGCGAGTTAGGAAGAACTCGACTCGACAAGTGATGTTGGTCACTTGTGGTGTAGAATTCTTTCCAACTCTCGGTGGAACTCTGAAGCAGCCACTTCTACGTGGTGAGTTCTGGGTTGTTGTTCTGGAAAGACGAACGGCAAGCGAAGAGCTGCTTGTTCCATTTTATCCATTCTGCCGCTGCTGGGCAGTTTTCTTGCGCTGTTTGTTGTTGAAAGCCCAAAGTGCTTTGGTGTTTCGTTGAAAAATTCGAGCACAAAATCGAATTTAAATTTATTATAAATTGCTGATAAGTAATTTGCAATTGTTTCTCCTGTGATTTATTAATTCTAAAATTGAAATATTTTGTTAAATACATTCTATTATATTAACTTAGGGTTTCCCGACGGGGTCGGTATTGACCCTTTAGGGGTCTATGAAAGTTTGCAGGAATGGCTAAAACTTTTCAAATATTTAAAATTTTACATATTTTTCTTGCTCTTAACTACTTTGTACTATACAATAAGCGCTCGTTGTTAATGAAAAAGTGTTAAAAATTTAATAATTCGATTTTTGTAGTCCCTTGACACGGAGGCCCAGGGCTTAAGCCCTATGAGCCCCTCTGTAGATCTGCTTGTGATAATAATTAGCAGTACTCACACTAATCACCATTGCACATTCTATGGAATAGTCATCAAAATTATCATACAACGTACATGTTTTTAGTATAACAAACAATGACCCATGCTATAGTTTGTTTTAATCTACTTAAATTTCTGTATATCTCACACTTTCACCATTGCACATTCTATGTGCAATGGTGAAAGTGTTGAAAGTCATCAAAATTATCATACAACGTACATGTTTTTAGTATAACAAACAATGACCCATGCTATAGTTTGTTTTAATCTACTTAAATTTCTGTATATATCCAGTCTACCTTGATCTTGTTTATTAATATGACAGGTAAAAATAAATATATTTTGTTTCGACTTTGACTATGATTTCCTTTTTTGCTATTCAGAAACTACACAAGTATAATAAGTCCTAACGCGATGTTAAAAACGTGGTTCAAGTAGACAGGATATATACAGAAATTTAAAAGAATAAGAACATAGAAGTAAAAAGAATTTTTATATTTTTAGATATAAAATGGCAAAAGGCTTGATTTTCAGGGTAAAGATGAATTTTATAAAAAATTGTAAATGTCAATAACGAGTAAAATCTTCATTAAGTCTGACCCTACTCGAGGTATGACCCACGATCCTTTCAACCTTTAAAAGTGTGGTCTATAGAGGGCAGATTTCAAATTAGGCAGCATCCAAACATAGTATCTCATTGCATGTGACAAGTGTAACAAATTAGCATCACAGTTGGCCAACAACACCCTTTGCCTTCAGAATTTTAGATGGAGACACGTTGAACAGTGCCCTGCAAGCTTATATCTCTGTATAATATAAGCGTTTCGAAGAAATGAAATATTTCTCGCTTGCAGCAGCAAAATAGCCATAGTAGTGAGTTTTGGTACTAGTTTTCTTACGCAAATGTCTTGTAAATGTTCTGAAATGTCTTATTACCAGTTATTATTGTATTTTGACAGCTGAATGTCTCTGTAAATAGAGTGGAATAGGAATACTTGATTTACTATTACCAAATATTTAGTTCCTATAAGTGTTCAGTTTAATGTTATTAATACATTCTGACAGAATATTTTATTCATTATGCTTTGATATGTGCAACATGTATCAATATCTTCGTGCACTACAACATGAAAAAATTCGGCTACATTACGTAGAAAAAACTTTTTAATAACTCTTTTTATCCTTGTAAATACTAAAAGGTTATTTTTAGAAAGCCCATTTTGGTTTCGGCCAGGCCCACACAAGGTCGGCTGGAAATTGAAGGTTTAAGCCCGAAATATCCAAATAAATCATTTTCTCTTACAATTCTTGGGGTGTTTCGGTCTGTTGGGAGCAAGTCGAGTTTGTACGTGTGAATATAATTTTCTATGCTATGTCTGTTGTTGACAGGTTTCATTAAAAATTTTTAAATATTTAACTGCAGTTGCCTTATTCGTATAACTCAATAATTACTCTTTAACACACGATAAATAATGGAAATATTTCTGTTGTGTTGTCTTCAGCGCCTCCTAACATGAGTGACGCTCTTTTTTCGTGAGTTCTTTGAACGGGTAAAATATGGCATAATCTAACAAATATAAAACTAAAATCGCTTGAAAAATATTTTATATTTTCAAAATTTTATTCGCGATAATCACATTTAAATATTCTTTCTTTTTCTGAATTTCATGTTATGAACGGTGTGAGATGTATTATATTTGTGATAGAAGGTGATGTTTCAGGATATTAGAAAAAAATATATTTTACAAATAAATATATTGTATTTATATTATTCAGTATTTTTACTAAAATCGTATACTACATTTAATATCAGGTTGATAATTATCAGTTTATAATTCTAAAATAACACTT